TTGCCCGATGTCGATTATCGTTTTCGATGCTCCTCCGAACATAAGTGCATTCCTATGAGTAGTGTTAATAATGGAATATCAAGATGTGTCGGTAGAGAAGATATGGCTGTAGGTATCGCCATTCGAGGGAAAGTAAAGAACCATCTGTTCTTTTCAATACTTTGCGATGGTTTTGTCGATCATGACCTGATTGATGGGCTCAACTACACAGATGAAATGGACTGCGAATATTGGCCTTGTAGCAATGTTTATACACGGTGTAATCATCGTGCAACGTGGAATTGTCGCAACGCATCCGATGAAGCTAATTGTCCTTCCAACCCATGTCGTCCAAACCGTCATCCTTGTATATCACTGCTTACTTACAACTTTACTTGCTTACCTCTATCGCGAATTAACGATGGTCATATTGATTGTTTAGGCGGCTATGATGAACTTCATTATTGTCCATCACAGTCAATTTCATCTCATCGACAATACCGTTGTTTCAATGAAACGAAATGCATTAATACTCGGAACGTATGTGATTCACAAACAGACTGTATATCGGGCGACGACGAAAATCAATGGTGTACACAACTCATAAATTGGCCAGATTGGATGAAGAAATTTTCTTCTTCTGTACCATCAGACACTTTCGATCTTAATTTATATCTGTTACACTTAGGAGAAAGTTCAAATAAATTAAAAATGGTATATTTTACACTGAAAAATCATCGAAATTATCCTGATATTGATGGTATCAACAACGAAGACAATTCCATTGTGACAACATCTGTCGACAGTGTTCCTTCTGATAAATTCACTGTTAATTGGGATCAACTGGCCAATTATAATCTAAAGGCATTTTGTAATCGTGGATTTCCAGTCTATGTCAATAATTTAAAAGAACACTATTGTCTATGTCCACCAGCCTATTTCGGATATCAATGTGAATATCAAAGTCAACGTGTTAGTCTTACACTACGGTTTCGAACAGCTGAATTGCGAACAATGTTCACTTTTGTTATGATGCTTATGGATGAAAATGTAAATATACATTCTTCAGAACAAATTGACTACATTTCAATACGTAATTGTCGAAAAAAATACAATTTCTATCTTCTCTATTCAACACGACCTAAAAATTTCAATCATACATATTATGTTCGTATTGATGTCTACGATCGCTTAAAAATGAAATATTATATTAGTATGTACTATCCTATTCGATATTCATTTTTACCAGTTTATCGTCTTGTACTACGACTAGATATTCCTATGCGAGAAGTTATAACTATATCAAATAATTGTCCATTGAAATGTTTACATGGACAATGTAGATATTTTTTGAATTCGGATAAATATTTTTGTCAATGTGTTAATGGCTATTCTGGAATGTTATGTACAATTAAGAATTCTTGTAATTGTTCATCAGATTCGATCTGTATTGGAGTTGTTCAAAATCGATCGATATGTATTTGTCCTCATGGTAAATTTGGACCACGTTGTTATTTGAAAAGTACAGTATGCATCTCGAATCCTTGTTTGAATAATGGTCGATGTATTATTGGTGATGAAAAATTTTCTAAAACTGAATACTATTGTCTTTGTCCAGAAGGTTTCATGGGTGTTCTATGTGAAATTAATCAGACTAAAATCGAATTTATTTTTGAAAAAACAATACCTATTCCACAATCAATTCTTATTCATTTTTTCTATGTTTCATCAATACCTTATGAACCTGCACATCTACATCTTGCTGATCCAATACGAACAACTTTGATATCAAAAATTAAATCCTATGAACATTCTACTTTTATTTATTATGGAGGAACATTTCATATGATATTTGTCGAATTCAATGAACATCGTTATCTTGCTTTCCTTCAACAGAATTCTACATTGGCAATGAATATTTCAATAACAATTATTCCTCAACATCAATGTGCATCAATTAAAGAATTGCTCGATGATCATATTCAAACCTTACCACGATGGCATCGAGCCAAATATTATCATGTTCCATGTCAAAAACATTCAAATCTTGTCTGTTTCTATGATAACGATTATTTTATGTGTCTATGTGATATTGATCGACATGCAAATTGTTTCAAATTCGACTATAAACCTGTTTATAATTATTTAGGATCGAATTTTTGTACAAATGATGGTCAATACTATCTAGATAATAATACTTGTCCAACATCGTCATCATGTTTTTGTAAAGACTGTTATTATGGTAGTCGATGTCAATTTACAACGAAAGGATTCGGTCTATCACTCGATGATATTCTTGGTTATAGTATTTGGCCTAATTTTTCTTTTTCGAAACAACCAATCATAGTGAAGCTGTGTACAATTGGAACGATATTGATGTTTTCAATTGCTATTGTAAATAGTATATTGTCTATAGTCACTTTTCAAACAAAAAATTCACTTAAAATAGGTTGTGGTATTTATCTACTTGGATCATCAATCACATCTTTGCTTACAATGACAATATTTACTATAAAATTTGTTTTACTTCTCATTTCTCAAATGTCAAGAATTACTAATTATTCTTTTCTTAAATCAAATTGTCTTTGCTTAGATATACTCTTGAGATCATTTTTGGCTATCGGAGATTGGTTAAATGCTTGTGTGAGTATTGAACGAACATTGACTATTCGACTCGGAATCAGTTTCAATAAAGTAAAGAGTAAAGAAATCGCTAAAAAAATTGTGTTGGGAATATATTTATCAGTCTTTGTAAGTTTTATTTATGATCCTATTTATCGTCGTTTACTTGAAGAGATAGAAGAACAACGAATATGGTGTGTAGTTCATTATCCATCATCTGTAAGAATCTTTGCCACATTTAATAATGTTTTTCATTTTATTGTACCTCTTACTATCAATTACATTTCAACTGTATCCATAATTATTCTATTAGCTCAACAAAAATCGAAGACTCGCAAACAAGAAACCTATAAACAACATCTATGGCAACAATTTCATAAACACAAACATCGATTATTGAGCTCATTTATTTTAGGTATCATTGCTCTGCCTCGTCTAGTTATTTCACTTATGTCCAATTGTATGAAATCTGCTCGAAATCCTTGGCTATATGTCTGTAGTTATTTTATTTCATTTATTCCACCATCAATTATATTCATACTTTATGTTCTCCCATCTGAGTTCTATCGAAAAGAATTCAATAAAGCAACTGTTGGTATTAGAAAAACGATTCAAACTCAATTCCGGTGCAAATAAGTTTTACAGCGAAGAACGAATTATTTTTCTGATGGTTTCATATTAAGACTCACTTTCAATTTTCTTTCAATAAAAAGAAAAAAACAGTTCTTCTAATGTCTGAATGTGATTATCATATTTTCACAAGTGATAATGTATCGATGGTTTAGTCGCACGTGGATGTGGGGTGGATGTGGTTGTAGGTTCTTTCTTCTCTCACAGGCACACCCCACACTTACACCCACATCCCATACTCACACCCACGCCTACGTCAACATTCACATCCGCACTATGGGTGTCAGTTCCTGGTTCCGTTTTCGGGAACTCGGGATCCGGAGTGGGTTCCGTTCTTGAAAACTCGGGAACCCATATCGGCTTGACACAGATTGAAAAAATAAGCACGCTCATAAGTCTCAATATAATCATAAACGTGTAGAAACGAATCTTCAAGTGGGTTCCTGAGTTTCTAGAACCCAGAACCCCGTATAGATTTCGTTCGCGAGAACTCGGAACACGGTGCGGATCCCCATATCCGGAAACCCGTTCAAAATTCGCATTCTTAGGTCCTGGAACACAGACCAAGTTACAAGTTCTGCGTTCCTAGGAATCCGAAATGAATTTCGTTCTCTGGAACCCGAAATCCGCCGCGGGTTCCGTTCCTAGGAACCCAGAAACTCATATCGACTCAATACAGATTGAAAGAATAAGTATGTCCATAAGTCTCAACATAATCAAAAAAGCATGGAAATACATTTTCAATTGGATTCTCGAGTTTCCAGAACTCAAGATTCGGAGTGGATTCCGTTCTTGCGAACCCGAAAACTCATACCAACTTGATAAAGATTGAAAGTATAAACACATCCGTATGTCTCAATATAATCAGAAACACGCGGAAACGAATCTTCGAGTGGGTTCCGGTCCAAGGAAATGGAGCCCTAGGGAACGGAAAATCCTGAACCCCTAACTCACATTCACATCCTTATTATATAGAAGTGTTCATTAAGGACAGTTTTACTGTAAATCTCCTCCCGTAATATAAGCCCCTCCCATATGAGAAGCCCCCCTCTGGAAGGTCGATGTACAAGATGTATTAGAAGCCCACCTGATTTTAAAATTTTTTGAAAATCTTTGGAAACTTTGTTAGTGTTTTCATAGTAAAACTATCAAAATTGCATGCTTTTATGGTAAAAATTAGCTTAATTCTTATTTACTAACATAAAAGTTCCGGAAGCCCCTTGAAAATCCTTCGAAAAACTCTTAAACAATGTTGGCATCTCTTTTGCTTTCAGCAGAAAAATTCTGCTTTTCAAAGATTTTTTTGCTTTTTGAGATATCTTCTCCATTCCATTTTTTATCAACATTTGCTATATTATACTATATCATTCTTTAAATAGAATGAGGAAAAATTCTTATTAAAATCTAGCAGTGTTTTTGTCTGATCCTTATTCTAAGATAAACATAATTTTTGCTTTTCACGGTTTACGAAAATCTGATAATCTATACTCCTTGCTCTCGCTCCGTTCTTTACTTATGTCTTTTTACGTAGAGAAAAAATAGCACCAGATTCTATATGTCCTGTCCAAATTCGTTTCGTAGTTTGTGCTGTATGCCGACTTCATTCAACTCTACATTTAATTCTGATATTTTCAAGTGCTATTATTAGGCAAACAACGAGAGATTACGTGTAAAAACTGGTTTCGGCATGGGCTTGACAAAGTAATTCCTGTCCGAACTCGTTTCTGCATATGTGTTATTATTCTGCATAGTTGCACTGAATGTACAATTCAATTTTTCATACAGTGCATCCACTTAGAGAAATAAAATAGATAGAAAAATAAATCCGGACAGGAAATATTGAATTTGGTGCTAGCTTTACAAATGTTATCTTTCCTCTTATCATATTTTGTGGTAAGTATTAGTATAGGTATTGATATAGATAATTATTTCACGCACAAACACGTCCACATATGCAAAATTTATTGAAAGCTGTTAAATCCAATGAAGAATATACATCTTCTATTTTCATATTTGACTAGGTTTTTTTCTTGATTTTATACAAAAAAAGATTGGAGATTTTTGCCAAATCTTCTCATTATTTCATTAAGTCAAGGTTTAAACCATTGTTTAGTATCATAAATATATTTTCTACTTTTCAAATGTCATAATATGGTAACACTACTCTTAAAAACCCTGAAAAATCTCTGAAGCCTCTAGAAAACTTTTTGTACTTGCAATTATTAAAAAATAGGGGGACTTAATAGAAGCTTCCTTCAAAAATTTTGTATTCTTGGATGCTTTAGAAGTCTCGGAGGCTTCTATTACGGGGGGGGGGGGGGGGGGGGGGGGGATTTACCCTTTGTTTAGCATTGCAATTCTAATTTTTGTATCAATAAATTATTGTGTACGACCTATTGCAATTCATTCATAATTCAAGTGTATAAGTCACTATTCCATCGGTGAATAGAAGCGTTAAACATCAGCTCATTAGATAACTTCTTTTTAATATATATTCCTTCAATTAATAGTTGAGATAATAAACATTTGCACGATATACTCAAAAGTGAATGTAGCTTATTCTTCTTGATTTCAGTAAATCAGTTTCTATTCCAACAATCATAGAAATATTGATCTTAATATAGTAATTCAGGGTAAAAACAACGACTAATTTCAATTGAATACAATTTTTTGCTGAGGAAACTTCAACTTATGATCGCTTGTAATGATCGATAAGTCGCGCATAGAAACAAAAATCGTGTATTAGATACAAAGAGTACAATGTCTTCGTTTTTTATAGATAAAAAATATCCGATAGTCTAGTTCAACATATAAATTAGATTTGTGCTCAATTCGATAGCGAAATGAACACAAAATTAGATGTCACCGTAAAAAAAAAAGTCTTTTGGAGATTGTTGTTCATAAAATTCTCGGATAATATCTAAGACAAGAAAAACTTAGTAGTCAAGATGATATTTATCTTCGATATATCATGCGTTCTGGATGGATATGAGATAAGTTAAGTAGAAAGAAAGGGACGAATTCGCTAGTTGTGACCAATGAAACATCAGCAAAAAGCTCTAATGCACGTCAAATTGTGAATGAAATGTAAGACTTCAAAAATTTTCTAACTAAATCGTAATTTCTTGCATCTTGATAAGCAGAAAAACATGGTATTAGATGTAGTCGTTGTGATCTTTTTCAAATACAGCAATAACCTTACTTATACTTACGGTTTTATAAATGATTGTTGTTCAAGTTTTTACAAATCTTGACAAATTTAACTGTAATTGCAAGAAAACTTTATTTTATCTATTCAAAATCTCTGATAACTTCAAAAAAGATGTTTTGCCAATACTGATTTTTTTTTGTTCACAACGATCTAATCGATAGTATTTGATAGAGCACAATAAACAAGACTAAGCAGTTCGAGCGTGTATGTATATCTTCTTTTCATCTATACGCTAAAGATTGCTCTTGAGCAATGCGGTCAATGAAAGTTATTATGAAAATATTAACAAATGTCATTTATTTTATAGTCAGTCGATATATGAAGAGATTTCTCTTCATAGTTTAATTATGAAATAATAGAATAACGTGAACTTGATAGCTTTTAATGTTTGAAATTCCCAGAAAAACGTCTATATTATAATTGAAAAAGAACAACTTGAGTAAATTTTAAGTCCGTTTGATAAGATTGATTTCGATTTAAGATCATCATTACCTTCGAAACTTAAGAAAACGCATAGGTAGTACAAATTTTCCAATTGGATGATTTCTACAATTGATTTTATGTTCAACATTTGCGTAATTTTTAAATGAAGAATAGTCAATCAAACAATCCCAACAGAATTCATATCGACATTTTTGACAAGTTATATGATCACAACCGCCATCCTTCTCAATGTTGCATTGACATCTGGGACATTTTTTCGAATTTTTTTTAATCCATTTTCGTGTTCTTGTATCACTAGATGGATACAATCGATCATATTGTTCACAAGTCATACCTTCATGCCATTTAACACGATGAAAAGCACATGTATCTCTTTTGCATTGACTACAAGTAATTTTCCAATTTCGAGTTAATCTTCTATAATCATATTGACCAGAACCACATTCATGAGCACACCAAAAAAAATTAAATTGATTTTCAAAGAATCGTTTGATCAGATAAGCATCATATTTTCTCAATAATAAATTATTTTCAGTAGCCAAGAGTACTCGACGAATTTCGTCTGAATTCCATTTTACCAAACAATTTATTTCAGGACATGCCACTCGACTACTAATACCACTATCAAGAATAGTTTTAACACTGTAGGATGTGCATTTATTGCAAATATACCGACGAGTATGTCGACATTTTTCACTATATGTTGGATAAAACTCTCGTTCAGGTTGTTCAACGAAGCAGACAACACATTCACGTGTCGGTGAAGAAATTTGACTATAATTGAGAATATTCATATGTACAATTTAAATTTTTCTGATATTGAATAATTAACAATAATAGTAAAATAGAAAACATTTAACAACTACAAAAATATTCGAGATATATATTTTGTCTGAAAAAAATCTATCTATTTTTCATATTTCGACATGAATGATTGATTGACATTAGAAAGAATACATTTTTGTAAGTTCAAAATCGAAATTTCTATGTGTACTAGTGATAAAGATTGTTTGTCTGAAAAAAGTGAAAATGGACAAATGAACAATTCTAATAGCAGTTTTTATGCTTCAATTTCAATGCAGTTGCTATTTCAGTCAAGTGTGTATATAAATGACGTAATTCATTGTCGAACGGTCAAATTACGATTGAAAAATTTTGGATATGAATGTTTCCTTATTTTACAAGCAGAACTATAGAACTGAAATTAGTTTCGTATAGTGAATTATTCTTGTTTCTATAGAAGACTAATTTTTGATCAAAATAAATAATTCTTAATGCAATGTGATCAATTAATTTTGATTAGAATATGTCAATCACTCTTCTCTTCTTTCATGCTACAACTTGAATAGAA